TGAAGAGGTGCTATCCTTCTGGAGTGAATGAGTCAGACTTTAACGCTTATCTTTTATCTTTTGCTCCTCTTACATGTTATCTTACACCTATATAATCTCCAACACCTTGCATGTGCTCTCAATTTCTAGAATTCTTCTGTTTATTTTAAATATTAACTGAACCTCTCCCTTCTCTACCACTCGTCAGGACCTGTCTTTGTTGTTATATTTTAGCATAAATCCACAGACACCTGCTTGACAACAGCAGGGGAGAGACATTCCATGGGTCAGTGGATGGGCTTTGAAGACAGGGAAATAGCTTAGCAGAGCCTCTTCTCTTCTGATGGGGATGGAAAACGCCTGCATCTGACATCACCTGTGTACTAATTAACCAGTCCCTTTTCCAGAAGGGAGAGCTGGCTGAGGAACAGGCAAATAGGGACATCAAAACAGCTGTGTTTGATAGAGTTGACGACAGGGATCTGCTCAGAGTAACTATTTAATAGTTTACATTAGTTTTCAAATTGTAAGCAAGAGACAGGACATTAAAAAGGAATATAATTGCTAGTAAGGCAATGTTATATTTTCTTGCAAATGTCCCTATCTTAATTCCCCCATGCTCTATCCCAAGTCTCCCAAGGTTGGGGTGTTTATTCTTAGCTAGTACTGTGCTTACGATGTTCATTAGGAAGGGGCTTCTGAAACACAGACTATAGGCGATCATAGGTTGTGAAGAGAAATATTACAAAGTCACTGCTGTAATACCACATACCCTTTCTCATGTGTAGAAAACACAAAAGACTCAGAAGAAACCCATTCTTTCTCTCTCGGTGACTTTTGTGGTATGTTACATTTCCTCCATATAAAATGTTCTCCAAATAACTCTTACCGTTCATATTTTGAATGCCATGAAATGGGAATTATTTCCTTCACCCACAAAAGTCACTTCCTTCTTAGACATACATTCTAATTGTCTGCATGAATTTCAAGTAAGGGCATTTACTTTTTTTCTCTCTAGGATTCTGAATTCTTCAGAATGACTAAGGGTGTTTTCATGCTTTAGGCAGTGACTCAACGTTTCCATTTTCAGTAAATGTCATTGCTAATGAACCCTGTTCTGCCTTTCCCAAGGCCAGATAACACTTTCATATTATGTCCAATTCTACACACAAAGTGAAGACAAACACAGCTGCCTTCATGTCATGTCCTGTCATGTCTAGGAGACCCTGCTTTGCTCTGGTCTTCCCAACTGTAAGCTCTTACAGTCTTTCTGCCCCACTTCCTTGGCAGTCTCTGATCCTGTTTTGGTCCTAGAGATCAAACCTGGGACTTTGTGTTGCTAAATGTGATTGGTTGAATGAAAAATGTTCCCCATAGGCTTGGGTATTGAACACCTGGTCTCCAGATAGTGGTGATGTTTGGAGAGGTTTGGGGAGGTGCAGCCTTGGTGCAGGAAGTATTCACTAGGTGTGGGCTTTGGGAGTTTAAAGCCTCTAGCTTCTCTCAGTTCTTCTGGATTGATAGATTACAGAAAGATAAGAGCTACCTTTTTTTTCTACTCAGTCATTCTAGACTTTAAACTAGGTAGCTTGGCAGCTTTCTTTGTCTTTCTTTCTTTCTTTCTTTCTTTATTTCTTCCTTCCTTCCTTCCTTCCTTCCTTCCTTTCTTTCCTTCCCTCTCCCTCTCTTCCTTCCTCCTCCTTTTTTTTTGGGGGGGGAGTGGTGTGGTTCAAGACAGGGCTTCTAATGTATCCATGGAACTCACTCTGTAGACCAGGGTGGCCTCAAACTCAGAGAGTAGCCTTCTTCTGCCTGAGTGCTGGGATTAAAGGCATGTGCCACCACCACCAGGCTTTAAGTTTTTTTTTTTCATTTGCAGCTTTATGAGGTCAATATCATAACCTACATTTCAATAATGAAGTTGACTGTATAACCACTTTGTCCATTATCACCCTGCTAGTGCACAGAGAGTTAGTATGAAAAGCCAGGGCTGTATTTTTCCAAGTCATTCCATTTTCTTTTAAATAAATTTATAGCTCTTACCTAAGTATCATTAAATAATTTATTTTTAAATCTTCACTTTCTCATCATCTTTTTTTCCCGTATCAAATATAACTCCCAAGAGTAGCATGAGATTATTAATGAAGTGCTGAGTGAGAATATTAGTAATTTGCAATGTCATAAGGTAAGATAATCCTTCCTTGTTCATAAGTCATGAAAATTAAACTAAAGCATTGTCCTTCTCCTTCCCAGGTTTTTGGAATGGGGTGAGAGAAAGCCATTGTGAAGCTTCAGCCAATCAATACACCTCCTTGGCCTGGTCATTCAGATATATGAATGAATGCTCTCTTGTTCAAGAACGCTACACCCCCTGGCTCCATCGGAGGGCATGGGGAGGCCAGCGCTTCTCCACATATTCTGTTCTCTGAGGAACTCTCGGGTCTCATCTGCCATTGTGTCAGCCCCTTTCAGGGTGTGACCGTTGGAAGAAAGCTGCTAGCATAATTTCCTATTTGGCTCTTTCTGATATGGAGTCCTTAGGGAACCTGTTTACATCCTCAACTTCCTTCCCGAGCCACCCCCACCCACCACAGGCCGGAAGGACATGAGTATCAGGTGGGAGAGGACAGGGCTGGACACAGGAAAAAGTGTATTGGGTAACTAGGAAAGCTTTGCAGCTTATCCCAGAAGGGACTGAGAAAGTAAGTCCTAGTGGGCCTGAGGCTGTTCAGGGATTTTGCAACCAAGTGCCCTTGTTTCTGGGTCAGGGAGGGAGAAGGTGAAAGCGGTGACACCTTCAGTGACAGCAGTATCTCAGCCAGGAGCTTTGGCTCTTAATGAGTTTCTTATTTGTTTGAGACTAATTTATTAGTCTAGGTTTTCTATGTAGTTTGTGGAATTACTCCTTCCATCTCCTGTTTTTTCCTTTTTCTTCCACTTATCTTTGATACCTAAAGATGTTTTTGTTTGTTTGTTTGTTTTTATGTTGTCTTTAGAACAAAGTGGGTATAATAGTCACTTTCTTGAGGGCCCTGACTAAACCACCAGAAAAAAGTGTAACCTTTATTTAAATACATTCATACATAGCTCACAGAATGTCCTGTTGGTAAAAGGAGTTTGTTTGGCTACTTGAGTCAAGAGCTTTTGTGCAGTTGGGTAATGTGAGGAACTGAACTTAACCTTCCTGAGAAAATGTCCAAAAAGGTGATTAATTTTGTGGGTTCGATAATCAGTCATGGGCAACTGCCAGAAGAACTCATGAAAAATTATGAAGATCAGGGTAAGTTTGAACAAGAATTACGAAAAACAGTTGGACTTCAGCATGGCTACCTATGCAAACTGAGTAATTGCTGACTGGAGCTTTAACTCATTTCAATAGATCCGAACATCTACCTTGGCTTTGTAGCTATGCTGGCTAGCAGCAAGAATTCAAGTATTTTGTCTTAACTGATTTCTGGGCTTATAAACTTGTCCCTTCCTTGGGTGGTCATTTCTCATTTCCTTTAGCAGAATATAATATGTGATGATGTGTATGATGGTTCAGAATCAGACGTTCAGATTCCTTGTTCTATAGTTTTACCAGCAGATATCTGAATGGTAATAGCTGCTTCCAACATTGTTTTCAGGATTGGAAGTAGCAGCTAAAGCCTATGGCATACCCCCCCCCCAACAGCCAGGCTTCCACAATGAAGAGGCTACCCGTGGTTTTGGGTTCAGAACATATCACTATTTAAAATTTTTTTCAAAATTTTATTATGAGTCATAATAAAGACTAATTGGTGCCTTTGGTGATTTGCATATGCTTAAGACCCATATCTTTAACTGTAGATGTTTGATGCCAGTACTTCATGAAAAAGATGTTTAATTTTCTGTCTGGCAAACATAATATCTAATATCTATTGAAAACAGAGTGTGTGATTGTTCCTAAGTATTTCATCAACTCAAAGAATACCACACTTGTATGAATTTTTGACCAAAATCTTTTAAAGAAGGTTTTTTGAAAACTCTATATGGCCCTTAAATAAAGTAGGTGAAATACAAATAGTTGCATAGGAAAATTATCTGGCATCTGATATGATAGATTAACATTCTGATAGTCTTACACATATTTTATAGACCTATATATTTATAATTTAGGTCATATTGAATACAGTTTCTTTCACTAAATACATATTTTTACTAGGTATTTCTGAGCTGTAGATTAGCTTGGAGGAGGAAACTATAACCACACATATTTCTTTCACTTAGAAAAGTTATCATTTTAATATAGGTGACAATGGTTCAGCCGGAACAATCTATGAGGCCACTGGCAGTGGGTCCAAGATCTAATTCTAATGCACAAAGACTTAGTGGAACCCATTCTGTATGGAGAGATACCTTGCTCAGCCTAGACACAGGGGTTTGTGGGGAGAAGAAGTGCCTTGGTCCTGCCTCAAGGAGATGATGGAACAGACCTAGTATATTTCCTAGGAGAGTCCTCACCCGCTCTGGGAGCAGATGGGAGGTGGGGTGAGAGGGGGAGGTAGGGGGAGCAGGAGGAGAGGAGGGAGGGGAACTGGGATTGGAATGTAAAAAAAATGAATAAAAAAGAAAAGTTATCATTGGTTGCACATCTTCAACTTGTCATAGCAAAAATGACCAATGGCACCCACAAGTGACAAATTGGTAGGAAATGGATGGGTGCTATTATTCTGAAATCTTTATATGTCTTTGCACTTACTGCTATTTTTGAGGAAATAATTATCTGTGGGTTTTCATTACACCACCATTAAGAGCACATTCATCAGTGTTTCTCCAAGAGTGAGTCTTGCATTTGACAAGAGGTATCTGAGGTGCATAAAGAAGTGCCACAGCCTGTTCAGGATTCCTACAAGACCTTTTTGAGAGGATTATTCCTGCCACACAAAGTGCTGGTGCAATGGTGAGCTCCTGTGAACAGTTCACCTAAGAACTAGTATCCTTGGCACATCTTGGACAAAGACAAAAACTGCCACTGGAACAACAGGTAAGAACACCTGAAATATAGGTGTTATTTCTAAGGTGCTGATTCATAGAATGAAGTTTAGAATAGAGATAGGTTTGTTACTGGGAGAAGGAAAAAACACTAATGATCCTTGGTAATGAGTTTTTGCAGCTATCTGTCTTAAACGCATGGTGAACAGAAAGAAGGTTTGGAATGATGCTAGAGGTAAATTTCCTGTCATTTGCTGTGGTTCCCCCATGATTCATGACTTAGTCATGATGAGAATTTCCATAAGATGAGTAATACAGTGAGTGGTTAGTATAAAGAGTTCCATGGCAATGAAACATAAAAAAAAAAAAATGTCTACCAAACTTATCTGAAGAGTTCAGGTAACGCTCAAGGGTTTTCATTCTCACAGGCAAGAACATGACATCTTGGTGATTTACTGATTTTACTGGGAAGGGGTTAGTGTCAACTAGTTTCAGTAATGTTTGGCTGTCGGCGGTACAGGAGTCAACTCTTCATGTTGATGTAAAACTTTTTGTCGATTTTGGTTTTTTTTTTTTTTTTCGAGACCAGGTTTCTCTGTGTAGCTTTGGAACCTATCCTGGAACTCGTTCTGTAGATGAGGCTGGCCTTGAACTCACAGAGCCTGTCTCTGCCTCCTTAGTGCTGGGATTAAAGGCCTGTGCCCCCACTGACTGGCTTGATTTTGTTGTTTTTTTGAGACAAACTCTCAGTCTGTATCTTAGGTGGCTTAAAGCCTCACCACCTAAGCCCCTGCAATGCTAGAATTCCAGGAGTGAGCTACAATAAGCATGTTGCCTTACCACTAAAGGACTGAGGGTTACTTTTTATTTGCTTATTTCTGGTAATATGCCTTTATTTCTAATTCTAGAAGAATTAGGTGCCCTCAATACTAAATATAGCTGCCAGCAAGTCAACCACATTTTCTGAATCCATTTTTCTGTTGATGGACACCCATCATATTGTAACTACATATTGTTTCATATTGTAGATGTTCTGAACAAGCATCAGTAAACATAGGTGTCAAGTATCTCTGTGCTTGGCTGGCAGAGATTCCCCTGTGCTATCCTTTTAGCAGGCAGAAGTTTTAAACTTTGATGACGACCAGTGTGTATTTTCAAAATTTATTTTGTGACTTATAGAGGGAAGTTTGACCAGTCAAAGTTTACATGGATCCTATATTTTTCTGTTGTATATTTAAATATATAGTTTATTTGAGATAATTTTTGGTGGCAGATTGAGATCTGCCTTATAGTTTTTATCAACTTTTGGCATAATTACTTCTGAATTAATGTGTGGTCAAAGAATATGCTCAGTGTAATTTTGATGTGTGAGAACTTGGTGAAACTTCACGTTGTCAATTTCAGTAAATGTTTATATGTCTGTAAAAGAGTGTATATTCAGCTGTTTTGTTTTTATGTTTTATGTCAGTTAAATAAACATTAATAATTACCTTATTAAAATCTTCTGAATATGGATTGATTTTCTTCAGCCTTTTCCATTGGTTTTGAGAAATTGGTGTAAAATTTTCCAACCACAGGAATGTAAATTAATCCAGATGCTATGGATATCTGTTGTGGAATATTAATTTTAGATGTGTTACATATTTATGCTATAAAATATTTATTTAATGATGCAAAGACATATAACATTTGATTAAATAAAATTAACCTTCATACAGGAGGCTGAATCAGCAGCTAGTTCACAGGAAGTGGTAAGAGGAACCATGGATATCTAGGGTTCTTCTTTCTTTTTTTTTTTTTTTTTTTTTTTTGGTTTTTTGAGACAGGTTTTCTCCGTGTAACACTCCTGGCTGTCCTGGAACTCACTTTGTAGATCAGGTTGGCTTAAACTCACTGAGACCTACCTGCCTCTGCCACCAAAGTACTGGGATTAAAGTTGTGTACAACCACTGCCCAGCCTGTATCTAGGGCTCTTCAGTGTGGGCAGAGCAGAAGGATGCACTGCTCTTGGGAGCCAAGAGCTAGGAGAGAAGGTGAGCTATTTGCTATTCAGCCTCTCTGAATGAGCAGAATTTCACTCAACCTTTGAATCCCGAGTTCTACAGAGGGATAAAGATCTAGGTAAAGTTCCCTTTACTGGCCATGATAGAGCAGGTGCCTGATGGAACCAAATGCCCACCTGTCTATGGCCAGTGTGGCCAAATGGCTATTGGTAGCTGGGGAGTTGCAAATTCCCGTTAGGACAGCAGTTGCAGAAGGGTCAGCTACTAAATTTAATGGACAACAAGAGATATCAGTGTGGAGAATCCTCAGAAAATTAAAAGAAACAAAAACTACCATATTTTCAAGCAATAATGGAATAGGAAGAGTTAAATGGAAGGGGAAGTAGGAGGGCAGGGCAGAGGTAAGAATAAGGGAAAGGTTAACAAACATTGAACTCTTTTCAAAAAAGGCATAGAGATGTCTACTACTGTAGAATATTTCCAAGATGTACACATATACATGTATTTAAAGAGTTTAAATGGAATTACACTATAACCAACAACAATGGCCCTAGTAGATACCAGGACCAACAAATAAAAAACCCAGTGAAGAATGGGTTCTCTTTTTGAGTTGGTAGCCAGTGAGTTTCCATAGACCCTCAAAGCTCACAGGCTGTAGCCAAGGCTCTTGGTCACTCTCCAGGACTTGTTGATAAATTCTTATTGCTCAAGCCACACAAACTTTTTAAATGGGCACATCATCAAAGTTCACAAGTGACAGTTGTATAAAAAATGTTTCTAACATTAGTTACCGTAATCAGAGAAATGTAAGTCAAATCCCAATGAGTAAAAAGTCTCTTTAGAATAGAATGGATAAACTTTCGAACAAAAAAGCTGTTGATATCAAATATGGAGATGTAGGACAAGAGAAAGCTCACACAGATTTGATAGAAAAATTGGCCAGCTTCGGAAAATTATTTCACAGATTATACTAAAGCCATTCATACATACAGAAGTTAGGCACTTGTAAATATTCGTGCAAGAACCATGTTTACACATGCGTAGGAATTGTCACAGGACTGTAAGACGGTCAATCTGGAAGCACAAATGTTCACCAGCATAGGAATGGATAAACACAATATGTCACATTCAAACAATGGAGAATCTTCAGGGCGAATGTGAATAAACAGGCAAGTCAGAGTACATTTCACAACCTTATAGTAAGGGAAAGAAAAGAAACAGGCACAAAACATGCACACTAGAGGATCCCATCTGCATTCTGTTTAACTATCAGGCCACGAGAGCCAGGAAAAGTTACATTAGGCAAGGCTAAGAAGAAGGCACAAGGAAGAACACATCCCTGTTGTTGATTTTGTTCTGCTTCTTGGTCTCATGCTTGCTATAAAGGTATGCACTCTTGTGATAATTTGTTCATCTTGATCATGGTGTTCTCTTTGGTACATTACAGAGTGAAAATAGTGATTTAAAAGTTAGCAAGGTTCAAGAAGCCAGTTGTGGTTTTCACAGAAGATAAAATGAGCTTTTCCTGAAGGTCATGTGTCTTTAACAATGTTGCGATTGGCTGGTCATAGTTGGAATGCACCTGCAAACCTAATGCTTGGGCAATGAGGACGGAGGATACACTGTTTCATTTGGGCACGGTGTTCTAATTAAAAATGTGTCTTTTCATCATCACGAGAGGGGGAAAATCCGGTTGCTTTATTTATTTGCAATGAAGCTTGAGGGAGAATAAACAACGGGTGCAATTTCCGTGTGCTGTATTCCCATTATATGTTGTCATTTGTTCAGGGTTCATAAATTACCCAGAGTCTAATTTATCTAGAATGTGGTTGAATCTAATCCAGCCAACGCCCAAGGATGACAACCCACCTTATGCAAATTTATCTTTCCTTTGCACACAGACCCTGGAAGAGCAGTCCCTCCAGGTAATACGGGAACTAATGGCTCCACTGGGTCTCCACTTGCCGAGTTGGAGGAAGCTCAAGCAGGACAGTATTCAAGGCAATTTGTTACATGGACTCAAAGAGAAAGAATTTTTTTTTAGTTTTCTAAACCAAATCTTGTTATTTGTTTCTGTATACTCACCAAAATTGAAAGACAACTCCCCCTTTTTTTTATTTTACCACATGGAAAGTATAATTTTATCTCAGAATTAAAGTTATTCACAATTTGCAGATGGACCTGTGATCTTGCCTGTGTCATTGCTGACGAAATGTGCATGGCCCAGCAACTCCTCCCAAGCTTCATAATCAGAGACCTCACTGCTGTATGACCATGCTTAGTTACCTGCTGTGAGTGGTAGGCAGCCTCACTGCTTCCAGATTCCTTTGAGCATTCCTTTCCCTCAAGTAAGCTTAAATGCAAGAAGAAAACTCTCTCTCTCTCTGTCTCTCTCTCTCCCCTCTCTCTCTCCCCCCACTGTGTGTGTATGTGTGTGTGTCTGTGTGCATGTGTGTATGTGTGTGTGTGTGTGTGTGTGTGTGTGTATGATAGAGAGGTATGTATATATCATTTACTTCCCTCTTAAATTGATTCTTGAGATTTATTTTTTATTTATTAATCTTTCTTTCAGACAGGGTTTCTCTGTGTAACAGCTCTGGCTGTTCTGGAGCTCACTTGAAAGACCCCCGAAGAGGTACTTTCGTAGAGGGAGACCCGCACCCAGGAATCAGCGAGACCACGAACTTGGATGCAAACTGCAAGAGGCTTTATTGGAGATACGGGTACCCGGGCGACTTAGCTTCTGTGAGGCCAAGCGCGCCGAGCCAAGGGAAAGGGGTCTTTATATAGGGAAAAAGGCACAAGCTAGAAGCAGGGATTCTATTGGATAATTCTAATGAGGCATTGTATAGAGCTATTCCCATTGGTCAATGTAAATGAGGCGCTATACAGGGTTATTCAAATGAGGCGAAGTACAGAGTTATTCAAATGAGGTGAAACACAGAGTCTTTCAAATGAGGCAAAATACAGAATCATTTCTATTGGATGGTTCAAATGAGACACAGAGCCATTCCAGGCGGGGGCTCAGGGGCAGGGCTCCAGGCCGGCTCACTTGGTGTTCCTTCTCGTGCCGGCCCACCTGGTGCTCGCCCTCATGCCGGCCCACCTGGTGCTCGTTCTCAGGCCAGGCGTGCGGCGGGTGGCGGGGGAAGTGGAGGCCGCCGGGGGTGGGGATCGGGGAAGCCGCCGACAGGAGGAGGAGGAGACAAACTTGAGAAAGAAAGGGCTAAGGGGCAGGGGTCTTTCACACTCTGTAGACCAGGCTGGCCTCAAACTCACAGAGATCCAAGTGCCTCTGCCTCCCCAGTGATGGGATTAAAGGCGTGCGTCACCACTGCCCAGCTCTTGAGGGTTTTAAATTTTTATTTTATTTTTAATCAAAATATAATCACTTCATTTATCCCCTCCCGTTAATCCTTTCAGCCCTTCCCATGCCTCTCCCTCATGCCCTGTTAAAGCATGGCTCTTTTTCTTTAATGTTATTGTTTAGAATATATATGTATATATTATATATGCTTGGTACTCACACACACACACACACACACACATACACTATTGAAAAGTGGTACAAGCCTGTGATCCCAGCATTCTAGAGGCAAAGGCAAGAAAATCAGGAGTTCCCAGCCAGCCTTAGCTACACATCAAGTCCGAGGCCAGCCTGAATTACAGAAGATCCTATCTAATGACTCCTTCCCTCAGGGGGAAAAAAGAAAGGAAACCACATACACAAAAAGATAAATGATAAACAAGTATAAGCAATGACTGGAACAAAGAGGATGTTGCCACATAGGTAGCAAGAAAACAAGTTAGGACAGTCACTATAAAAACCAGCACTGACTTTTCTCAAAAAGTCAAAACTAGATCTACCGTGTAATGCAGGAATCCCATGACTGGCTTCATATGCAGAGGAAATGAAATCAGTGTTCCAGGGAGAGCCTTGAACTCCTGTGTTTGCTGAAACATTACTCTCAGCAGCTATGTCCACCAGATAATAGGTTAAGACGCTGTGACAAGCAACACACACACACACACACACACACACACACACACACACACAATTATTTAGGTTTTCAAAAGAAGGAAATGCTTGTTTGCCACAACAGGCATGAACTGAAGAAATTATGCTTAGAGAGAGACACTAGACACAGGAGATGGCCTTAGATTTTCAGGGATACCACACTATCCTTTATAAGCTATTATAAATGATGCAAAACACTATGCTCTTCACTCTACTAGACAGGCATAGAATTCATCTGTTGGCCTTTGTTTTGACTCATGATATACTGTGTCAAGGCCTTTACACAACATGTTAAAGTATAGCAGTCAAATGGATTTTTAAATAGCTACCCATTTCCCTTTTAACCTCCAAAAATGTTTTCTCTCTTCAGGAAATTCTTCTTGTTGACGCACTCATCTGTTACATGTATCACATTCAAAAAGGGACTAAGAACTTACAAGCCACCCCTTGCAGTTTCTAGGTGAGGGCTCTGTTCCTCCAAAGCAATATGACTCGGTAAAAGCCATGGTCAAGCTGAGTTCTCTTCAGGACTATTTATTGTTCCCCAGCGTCATAGTTAGGGTTTCAGTTGCTATGAGGAGACACCATGACCACAGCAACTTTTATAAAAGTGAAACATTTAATGGGGGTGACTTACAGTTCAGAGGTTTAGTCTGTTATCCTCATGGCAGGACTCGGCAGCATGCAGGCAGACATGGTGCTGGAGAAAGAGCTGACTCAAAGGCAACCAAAAGTGAACTGACCTGGGCGTATCTTGAACATGTGTTATCACAAACCTGCTATCATAGTCACATACTTCCTCCAACAAGGTCACCCCTACTTCAACAAGGTCACACCTCCTAATAGTGCCACTCCTTATGAAGTGTTGCAGCTTGTTGTGGTGCTTCTCTTAGCCGTTTCCCCCCCAAATAAGCACACAAAGACTTATATTAATTATGAAACTGTTGGCCAGTGGCTAGGGCTTTTTATTGGCTAGCTCTGTCTTACTTATTAACCATTTCTATCAATCTATGTATTGCCATGAAAGCTGTGGCTTACCTGGAAATGCCCCTGCATGTTGTTACTCCTTCGGCAGCAGGGAGACTCTGTGGGGTGGGCTCACTCTTCCTCCCTTTCCCAGAATTCTCCTTGTCTCCTAACCTGCCTATCTTCCTGCCTGGCCAATCACTGTTTTCTTCATCAACCAATAAGAGAAACAGATATACAGAAGGACAACCCCCATCAGCAACTGATGAAAGTGAGAGTGCTGTCAACAAGTCTGAGTTCTTAGAGAACGATTGGAATATCTAAAGAAAATGCTACTGCATCCAGGAGCTGCTTAGATGAGGACTTTGAGATGCATTGGTTTGTGGGTATAATGATGACTTTGTATGCTACAGGGCTTACTTAGCAAAATAACAGCACCAAATTTTACCCTGGGGCCTATTCCCTGTCTAGTCACAAGTTCTTGGCCCAGTAACAGTGGCAGGTATGGGTTTCATCTTGTCCAGCAGGACTTATATCCATTACAAAGAGGTTAGTTACTCCCCTGATGGCTCTGCCACTCTTATTCCCCAGGCATGTTTTGCCAGAGCAGTCATCACTGTAGCTCAAAGTGTTCACAGGTCAGTGTGATAACTGCTTTCCTCCTCTAGCGGTGTGCATAACACCTAGCACTGTGAAAGTTAGCCAGTGAGGATGAGACTTCCAAGTCAATGCTGGCTTCATTTCTCCATGTTCTAGGACTCAAATAATATACAAATGGTTATGAAAGCATGCATAACACCTGTGCAAGTCCAAGTCAGAACAAATCCCAGCATGGAAATGGGAGTTGAACTTAAAAATTCCATGTCTGGTTAATTTCAACAAAATTTTGCTTCTACGGCCAAGACAAACTACTGGAAATGCTTCTGGAAATACAATTTCAAAGTCATTGCTAAAAAAATAAAATTTATCTGAAACCATGTCAGTATATGATGCATGTGTTTATTTGAGTGTAATTGCCCTTGCTTTGAAATTATCTTTAAAATGTTCGCACTTTTTCTTATTTATATTTAGAAAAAAAATTCAGATATGGACTAATTGCATTACAATTAGAGTTAATGAGTTGAGTTATACTTACCTATGTGAGGAGAAATTACATAAAAGTATGTATATAACATTTGAAACAAAATCTCATTTAGTGCAAATTAACCTAGAACTCACTGTAGCCCAGGCTAGCCCAACCTTGTGGCACTCCTTCCAGAGTGTTCCAACCAAACAAACAATAAACACATACAAGTGTAGGTATATATAGATGTACTTTAATATATATATATATATATATATATATATATATATATATACTTTCCCATATCTAGAACAGAAGCCATATATTTATTTCAGTTTTGATTTCTTCCCATGAAGACAATTAAGTCTTTCCATTTGCAAAACAATGATTCTATCAAATGTATTGATTTCATCATTTTACCTCAGTGATGTCTTTGTTACTTATGGCAGCTAATCCTTCCTGCAAGCCATGGAGTTCTGACATGCTAACATAGTACCTGCACTGTGGATATGCCAGCTCACTGATGCGTTGAGGACATAAGCATAATGAAAGAATGGTACCATTAGGTCCCAGAGGCCAATGACACTTGTAAGTAAATAGCAAATAAACTGCTACATAGGTTATTCCTCTAGAAAGGAAATAAAACTGATTTGCTAGATTCTCACTCATTTTTCTTGGTTATAGATCATTAAGGAACTTCTTAATTTAGTTTTTGTCGATTGTTTTGGTTTTCAAGACAGAGTTTCTCTGTGTAGCTCTGGGTGTCTCCAGAACTCTGTCTGTAGACCAGGCTTGCCTTGAACTCACTGAGATCAGCCTGCCTCTGCTTCTGCCTCCCAAGTGCTGGGAGTTTCAGGACAGCCAGACTGCTATACAGAGAAACCCTTCTCTCAAATAATAATAATAATAATAAATCCAATCCAACACAGCACCTCAAATACAAGTTAGATAATTAGATGTCTTACTGAGTCTGAGTAAAGGAGAGAAAGAGATGGCATGTAAAAGACATGGAGGGGACAAGATCATAAAATCCCTTCTCCTGAAGCAAAGGGGACACCCCTGACATACGTAGAGGAATTGGATTGAGTTTCTCTCCATTTAATTTGATGTTGGCTGTTGGCTTGCTATATATTGCTTTTTGTCAGGAGCCAGCCCTGGTTAAATATAAAAGTTCTCCTTACAAGAGGCCTCTTGACCTCCATGCTCAGCTAACTGCCAATTAGTCAAGCACCCCACCCCTTAGGTTCCAGGACCTGGCCTGAGAGCAATTAACACCCATTCCTCCCCCCTCCCTTACTTCCTCTTTCTTTACTTCCTCTCTTCTCTTAAAAAACCCCTTGTTTATAATCAATAAAATTAGACCTTGACAAGGACACTGCTTGGTCTCGCTTTTCTTTCCCACCCATTTATTCTCAGGTTTAGTCCACCTTGGACCCACGAATTACCGGAGCCCCTCGGGCCGGGGTAACTTTTATTATGTTGAGGTATGTTCCTGTTATCCCTGATTTCTCCAAGACCT